TGACCTGGTGTGAACGGTCTCTGGCTCGGCAGGCATGACGTGGACCGTCTCTGGCTCGGCAGGCATGACGTGGACCGTCTCTGGCTCGGCAGGCATGACGTGGACCGTCTCTGGCTCGGCAGGCATGACGTGGACCGTCTCTGGCTCGGCAGGCATGACGTGGACCGTCTCTGGCTCGGCAGGCATGACGTGGACCGTCTCTGGCTCGGCAGGCATGACGTGGACCGTCTCTGGCTCGGCAGGCATGACGTGGACCGTCTCTGGCTCGGCAGGCATGACGTGGACCGTCTCTGGCTCGGCAGGCATGACGTGGACCGTCTCTGGCTCGGCAGGCATGACGTGGACCGTCTCTGGCTCGGCAGGCATGACGTGGACCGTCTCTGGCTCGGCAGGCATGACGTGGACCGTCTCTGGCTCGGCAGGCATGACGTGGACCGTCTCTGGCTCGGCAGGCATGACGTGGACCGTCTCTGGCTCGGCAGGCATGACGTGGACCGTCTCTGGCTCGGCAGGCATGACGTGGACCGTCTCTGGCTCGGCAGGCATGACGTGGACCGTCTCTGGCTCGGCAGGCATGACGTGGACCGTCTCTGGCTCGGCAGGCATGACGTGGACCGTCTCTGGCTCGGCAGGCATGACGTGGACCGTCTCTGGCTCGGCAGGCATGACGTGGACCGTCTCTGGCTCGGCAGGCATGACGTGGACCGTCTCTGGCTCGGCAGGCATGACGTGGACCGTCTCTGGCTCGGCAGGCATGACGTGGACCGTCTCTGGCTCGGCAGGCATGACGTGGACCGTCTCTGGCTCGGCAGGCATGACGTGGACCGTCTCTGGCTCGGCAGGCATGACGTGGACCGTCTCTGGCTCGGCAGGCATGACGTGAACCGTCTCGGGCTCGGCAGTCGTCTCGCGCTCGGCAGGCATGATGTGAACCGTCTCGGGCTCGGGCTGGGACAACCGAAGTCGGGTCCTGCCGGACCACCAGACTTGAGACCCCCGAAGTCAGGTTCTCCAAAACCACAGGACTTGAGACCCCAGAAGTCGGGTCCTCCCGGACCACTAGACCTGAGACCTCCGAAGTCGGGTCCTCCTGGACCACCGGCCTTGAAACCCCCGAAGTCGGGTCCTCCTGGACCACCGGTCTTGAAACCCCTGAAGTCGGGTCCTCCTGGACCACCGGTCTTGAAACCCCTGAAGTCGGGTCCTCCTGGACCACAGGCCTTGAAACCCCCAAAGTCGGGTCCTCCTGGACCACCGGTCTTGAAACCCCTGAAGTCGGGTCCTCCTGGACCACAGGCCTTGAAACCCCCAAAGTCGGGTCCTCCTGGACCACCGGACTTGAAACCCCCGAAGTCGGTTCCTCCCGGACCACCGAAATAGGGGAAGAAACAGGAGCCTTCCTCCTGCGCGCTGTGTGGGAATTACCGCCTCTGGAGACGCTGCCGCAAAAGCTGCCACTTCTGGGGGAACAGTAGCTTCCCTAGCCGGAGGATTCCCTTGACGAACAAGGGAATTAACAAATTCCCCAAACGTCAAATCCTCCAGCCCTCTCATCCTCCAGTAGTTGCAGGGCTCATCAAGGGCATAATTCAAAAAAACAGGTCATTTAGAGCCGCATCCCCAAGCCTCAGTCCCTCTGCAGCCGCGCTGAACCTCGGGGCAAACTGCCTCATGTCGGTCCCCTGTTGACGGATGGAAGTTAACCCTCTGGGGACCAGAAACGCGCCCGCGCGTTTTGCTCGTTTTTTTTTTTTTAGCAATGCAAAATAAACTCAAACTGCTCTGTTAATTTTGATCTTTCATGTTCGTGTTATACATCAATCGATCCTGTTCAGTTTCTATTTTTTTTCTGTATACTCACAATAAAAATAAAGTGTTTTGCTTTTTGCCAAATAAAGAAATATGAACATGATGCGAGTTCTTCACTCTCTCTGTCAGCGAACTCCAATTTGAAACGCATTCGGAAATGAACTGTAAATCCACGAAAATTCAGTCAAACAGGCAAACATACCCACGGGCATAAAGCTAGAGATCCCATCTTTTAAATGAAGTCATTTATATTAAAAACAAATATTCTCAGCTTCTGTAATCTGTATGAAAATAGAGCGATTCCAGTCGAGCTCATTACGAGCTCATTCACTTTAATTCGTTCACGCCTACTCCCGGAGCGGGCTATTCACAAGATAATGTGTTAAGCCATCTATGGGAAACAGGTAAACGCCCCCAAGCAAATGCATTAAAGGCTTCAAGTTTCATCATTCAGTTCACCTGCGCGTTGGGAAGATGGCACGATACACCGGTGTAGAAGCTCTTCAGCTCGTCCTGGATACTAGCGACGAAAAATCCACATTTTCATCAGAAGAAGAGCGCGACTCTGATGACGACCGTTTGATCGAGCCGTGGATAGAATTTCGTATGAGTAAGTATTTAGTCTTACTTCCATTAGTTGACAAGCTATTCAATATAAACATGTAGCTTACATATTATACTGGGTGGACTATTTTCCACTTGCCATCCAGAGTATTGACATTTGATATATTCAACACGATCTAATGAAAGTGCATATCTATACCATGAATTTAATATCTCGTGTTAAAGAGAAAAATGTTGGGGTTTTTTTTGTTTTTTTTTTGTGCATGCTACGCACTGTAAACCCCAGTTAGGAAATTTGTATGTGTAAATGATATGTTTAGATCATTGTGTATGAAAGCTAGAATGTAGACGTTATTTTAGAAAATAGGCCTACTAGATGTTTAGATTATATTTTGACTAGTTTAAATGCTGCCTCATTATTATCACTGACGATGCATGCTCGCAAATATCAGTTGGAAATGTGTGTAAATGTGCTGAAATGTGTAAATATACCCAGTTAATGAATTGCGCAAATGTGTTTTGTTTGCGGTGTGCCTCTCCGGCAATGGCCCATTGACACGCATATTTATTGCACTCGCCTAAAATTATTTACATCAGTTATTCATTATAGACTAATGCTGCTATGGTTATATTTATGTAATAATATTCCTCAACTTAAAAAAAAAAAAAAGGAATGTAGCTTCATCACTACCTCCGCCTGCAACTCGGAGTGCGCTTAGCAACACAGTCAGAAATCAGAAAGAGTAAGTACATATTTACCTACAATTCTACAGATGTTAGTTCAATTTTGTTTATACTTAGTGTTAATACAATATGAGCCTGTATGACTTCACAATTGCTTTGTTTATAGCCGACTGATTATTTATTTATTTTACTCACATTTGATTTGCTTAGAGCAAATTTAGAACATTTAGTTTCTCCACATAGAGGAATTACAATAAAACAGATTGAAAAACCTTTGAATCTCCTCTCATTCTTTGTTCAGGCTGCCTCACTTGATGGGCCATTAGCCATTGAGGGAGTGTCTGTCACACCCCTGGTCTGAATCTCATTAATATTGATAGGCCATTACCACCCCCTCGCATAAACCTCTTCTGACAAAAAAACTGTCATACAAAGTATGAATTCATGTTTTGCTTTATGTGAACAATTAGGCAGGATGATTTTCACATCATTTTGAAGCCAGAACTCGAAGCGACAACATCCATTAGTAAAAAGGCTTGTGGACACATTTTTAGTATGTGTTTTGTGGTCTTATTTCAGCAACTTTCATTTTTATTTTTTTCAATAACCACGCATAAACATTATTCTCTTAAAAATACAAACATGTACATACATGTTGCTCACATATCATGGTAGCCCCGTTTGTGCTATATAGAGTGAATTTACACCTTTGACATTAACATGTTTATAAATAACTGAAAATAGCACAAATGTCAGTGCATGTCAAAACATCCCAAAGGCCCCAAAAACACTCTGGTCCCCAGAGGGTTAAGTTCCTGAACTTTATTATGCGTTCGTAGTGAGGGCAGGAGTCAGGGGAGACCGGTGGATGGCGTGAGTCCTTCTTCCGCTGAATCCCGAATGACTACTCTAAGCTTATGTGATTTTACTAAGTTACAGAAGTTACCAGTGTGATTCCTGAAATGTTATTTTCATTCATTCTCTAATGTCTGTATTTGATATGAATGCAGTAACAGTGCTTGATCATTTAGCCCGGCTTCCAGAAATGAAAAATGGACTTGTTTTGTTTGAGAAAGGTCTTCAACGTGTTAAAATATAAATCTGTTCTTCTAGCTTGGAACCAATAGTTTAAGTGACCATTTCTTAGTTAAAGTCTTTACTTTACTGTGTTATATTAAAGTGTCCTCTCCTTGAAAGAAAGAACATGTTATCTTGATATTTTGAGAAGACTCTCCTGTTTATCGTTAGAGCCCGACCAAATCCAACATTGAAGAAGCTGTGTGTGTGTGTGTGTGTGTGTGTGTGTGTTAGTCTTCTTGGTTACAGGTTAAGGAACAAGTTGCATTATTGGAGATTGACCAACTTGTTTTCTTCGACATGTTGGCGACTAGAAACCCAGATCTGCGACCTAGAAGGTCACGACTTGCCTAAATTCAGGGTCGGAGTGTCAGACGCATAATCGATGGAGAAATGCTTTAGTCTAACAGTCCATATGTGGAAAATGTTTGTTTATCTATTTCTTAGCCAATCAGAAACATTCAACCTGAAGCAAGGATGTAGCGTAGACCTTGGTGAAGGGTATAACTATTGTGATCTTTGTAACTGTAAGCGGAGCCTACGAACTCCTTGAGAGGTCTTGAAGCTGACTTCTGCCAATGAAACTCTTAACTATCTTTAGTAAAAACAAATCTTTAATTTATTATAATTCTGACTCTTGTCTTAAATTGACTGAAACATGATTGATTTCAGTAAGTTGATCCTTCTGAGGTTCATTGTTGTTTATTTGCTGCTGTAACTAGTAGTATAGAGGAAGAGATGATCGGTTCTACAGCAATCTGTCACCACACATTAAAGGGATTATAAGATTATACGTTGAGTTGGTGAAATCTTGGAGCATGTGTGCAGTTTTGTGGTAGTGTCCCGAAAGGCTGGTGTTGGCGTACCTCCAGAGAGCATCAGCACTCTCCTTGCAGCTCTTCTCCTTCAGCGTCAGTCGGACGCGGCTGCAGAGCGCCAGCAGTAGCTCCTTGTGAAACTTGCGTGACGCCTGCTCATTCGACGCCACGCTCGGCCAGCAGAGATACTCCTGAAACACAGAAGACTGATCACTCTCTCAATATCACCAACTTCCCCTGATCTGTTCAAACCTTTCATAGTCACATCAAAACAGACAGAACGCAAAATACAACACCTATTGAAAATAACTTGATGCTTCAAATAAAGATTGTATTAAAAAAAATACTATGTGTGTTTTAAAAGATGAAGAATAGTCTTATGGATTTAATGAATGAAGGGGAATAAATGAGCAAATTGTCAAGTTTTGGGTAAACTCACAAAAAGCAACGCATATAATAGTCAGCTTGTCTAACATAAGAGGAGATGAGACGATCACTGACCTGAAGGGTGCTGACCAGAAGCTCGTACCACTCCAGACGGTCCCTCAGAAGGCCGGTCTTCTCCACCTCCAGACAGTGCTTCACCGCCTCCTCGTGCCGGCCGTCTGCGCTGTACAGACGCACCAGCCGGCCATTGATGTCGGAGTCGTCGGGCCGCAGCTTGAGCTCAGACTGAAGCAGCTCGTACAGCTGGATGGAGCCGTTCTGTCCTCGTGTGCTCAGAAGCTTCTCCTGCATCAGAGAGAGAGAGGGTGAACTCAGAGGACGGATGGGATGGGATGTGGATGGGATCGGAAGCGCGCACTGACCCTCAGGTTGAAGACGTTGGGATGTCCCGGCAGCAGCTTGGCAGCTTTCTCCACCCAGTACTCGGCCCGGTTGTCAGGCTCCGGTTTCCCGCACAGCAGCTCCGCCAGCTTCAGAACCAGGTCTGACTGAGCCGGATTCAGATCAAATGAATGCTGGAGTTCAGAAACAAACATCAGCATTACATGCTTAAACTTTAAAACTGCGTTAGAAGTTCAACAATACAACGACCTTGGAAACAAAGGGCAGAATAATCCTGATGTGCTTCACACAGACTAACTGTGTTATAACTGAATGTGAGGAGAGAGAATCTGATATCCTCGAGATAATCCAACACAGGTTACTGTAAAACAGGTCTCATAGCTTCTGGTTCGGGTGTTTTGTAAGCGCTTCAATATAGAGCCGTTTCAAGATAGAGTTACTAAAGATGAACCTAACCGATGTTTATCGTATACGCAGATTGATATCTAAAGGTTTTTTATTTTTCTTACTATTATTTGGTTATTAAAAGGTAATAAGAGCTTGAGCTGATGAACCAGAGGAGGTTTGGACTGGCAGCTCATGTACAGATGGAGTTCACTGCATTCACTCACTGTGAAGCCGCTCTGAGACGCTGGAAACACCGGATCATGAGCTGAGCGCGTGTAAATGAACACAGTGCCGCGCTTCACTCTGAAACATGCAGTAACACACTATATCACTGAATATCAACACACAGACTGCAGTGTGTCCGAGAGAAAGGAAACACAGGAGTTACCCGTGTATCGACACTGCGGAAAACTTTCAAATAATTTTGTATATATGTATATTTTTCCAGCATTATCAGCGTTAAACTCTACAGCTGAAGTGTGTATTCAAAGACTATGCAGTAGGGAAACATATCAGAGTAAATGAAGGGAATCTGAACCTTATAACATCCCACAGCTTTGTCCGTTTCCCCGTCCCGCTCGAACAGCTGCCCGAGGAACCGGTGCGCTTTAGGATCCTTCGGCTGAACAGTCAAATACTCCGAAACATGCCTGTGATCCAATGGTGTGAGAGAAACATCAGTTCACAGAGAAACCAGGCATTACACAGAAGACAGAGCAAAGGAGTTAGCCTACCTTTTAGCAAGCTCATATTCTTTAGCCTCAAAGTAAAGTTTGGCAAACAGAAACCCTTTCACTGAATTCTGCAAGACACAAAACAGGTTAGTGTCACAATTAAACAATATCTGTGTAATTATGTATATATGAATTGTATCCCATATAATATTCAGTTTAAATCTTTAACACTGTAAACCCTAAAGCTGAAATTAATTAACTGTACAGAGCAGAGGAAACTATTATACTTCAATTCAATTTAATTGAATGAACTTCAATGAGCATTTATAACAGAGTTCATGAATCTGGCACATCTGATGAACAGAGTTTTTGGAAAAGCTGCTGGAACTCAAGGTTTAGTGCACTTAATGAGAAATACTGAGCAAGATCACTCATACTATTTGATAGCATTCAACATGGTCTAGGTGGGTAGGTAGGTGCAGAAGCTCAAACGTGCTGCGTAACACGAGAATGAACCTCATTGGTTCTTGCAGAAGCTCAAACGTGCTGCGTAACACGAGAATGAACCTCATTGGTTCTTGCAGAAGCTCAAACGTGCTGCGTAACACGAGAATGAACCTCATTGGTTCTTTTTGAAGCTCAAACGTGTTGCGTAACACAAGAATGAACCTCATTGGTTCTTGCAGAAGCTCAAACGTGCTGCGTAACACGAGAATGAACCTCATTGGTTCTTGCAGAAGCTCAAACGTGCTGCGTAACACGAGAAGGAACCTCATTGGTTCTTTTTGAAGCTCAAACGTGTTGCGTAACACAAGAATGAACCTCATTGGTTCTTGCTGAAGCTCAAACGTGCTGTGTAACATAAGAATGAACCCCATTGGTTCTTGCTGAAGCTCAAACGTGCTGCGTAACACGAGAATGAACCTAATTGGTTCTCGCAGAAGCTCAAACGTTCTGCGTAACACGAGAATGAACCTCATTGGTTCTCGCAGAAGCTCAGACGTGCTGCGTAACACGAGAATGAACCTCATTGGTTCTTGCAGAAGCTCAAACGTGTTGCATAACACGAGAATGAACCTCATTGGTTCTTTTTGAAGCTCAAACGTGTTGCGTAACACGAGAATGAACCTCATTGGCTCTTGCTGAAGCTCAGACGTGCTGCGTAACACGAGAATGAACCTCATTGGTTCTTTTTGAAGCTCAAACGTGTTGCGTAACACGAGAATGAACCTCATTGGTTCTTGCTGAAGCTCAAACGTGCTGCGTAACATGAGAATGAACCCCATTGGTTCTTGCTGAAGCTCAAACGTGCTGCGTAACACGAGAATGAACATCATTGGTTCTTGCAGAAGCTCAAACGTGCTGCGTAACATGAGAATGAACCCCATTGGTTCTTCCTGAAGCTCAAACGTGCTGCGTAACACGAGAATGAACCTCATTGGTTCTTGCTGAAGCTCAAACGTGCTGCGTAACATGAGAATGAACCCCATTGGTTCTTGCTGAAGCTCAAACGTGCTGCGCAACACGAGAATGAACATCATTGGTTCTTGCAGAAGCTCAAACGTGCTGCGTAACACGAGAATGAACCCCATTGGTTCTTGCTGAAGCTCAAACGTGCTGCGTAACATGAGAATGAACCCCATTGGTTCTTGCTGAAGCTCAAACGTGCTGCGTAACACGAGAATGAACATCATTGGTTCTTTTTGAAGCTCAAACGTGTTGCGTAACACAAGAATGAACCTCATTGGTTCTTGCTGAAGCTCAAACGTGCTGCGTAACACGAGAATGAACCTCATTGGTTCTTGCGGAAGCTCAGACGTGCTGCGCAACACGAGAATGAACCTCATTGGTTCTTTTTGAAGCTCAAACGTGTTGCGTAACACAAGAATGAACCTCATTGGTTCTTGCTGAAGCTCAAACGTGCTGCGTAACACGAGAATGAACCTCATTGGTTCTTGCGGAAGCTCAGACGTGCTGCGCAACACGAGAATGAACCTCATTGGTTCTTGCTGAAGCTCAAACGTGCTGCGTAACATGAGAATGAACCCCATTGGTTCTTGCTGAAGCTCAAACGTGCTGCGTAACATGAGAATGAACCCCATTGGTTCTTGCAGAAGCTCAAACGTGCTGCGTAACACGAGAATGAACCTCATTGGTTCTTGCTGAAGCTCAAACGTGCTGCGTAACACGAGAATGAACCTCATTGGTTCTTGCTGAAGCTCAAACGTGCTGCGTAACATGAGAATGAACCCCATTGGTTCTTGCAGAAGCTCAAACGTGCTGCGTAACACGAGAATGAACCTCATTGGTTCTTGCTGAAGCTCAAACGTGCTGCGTAACACGAGAATGAACCTCATTGGTTCTTGCGGAAGCTCAGACGTGCTGCGCAACACGAGAATGAACCTCATTGGTTCTTGCAGAAGCTCAGACGTGCTGCGTAACACGAGAATGAACCTCATTGGTTCTTTTTGAAGTTAAAACGTGCTGCGTAACACGAGAATGAACCCCATTGGTTCTTGCAGAAGCTCAGACGTGCTGCGTAACACGAGAATGAACCTCATTGGTTCTTGCAGAAGCTCAAACGTGTTGCGTAACACGAGAATGAACCTCATTGGTTCTTGCTGAAGCTCAAACGTGCTGCGTAACACGAGAATGAACCTCATTGGTTCTTTTTAAAGCTCAAACGTGTTGCGTAACACGAGAATGAACCTCATTGGTTCTTGCGGAAGCTCAGACGTGCTGCGCAACACGAGAATGAACCTCATTGGTTCTTGCAGAAGCTCAGACGTGCTGCGTAACACGAGAATGAACCTCATTGGTTCTTTTTGAAGCTCAAACGTGCTGCGTAACACGAGAATGAACCTCATTGGTTCTTGCTGAAGCTCAAACGTGCTGCGTAACATGAGAATGAACCCCATTGGTTCTTGCAGAAGCTCAAACGTGCTGCGTAACACGAGAATTAACCTCATTGGTTCTTTTTGAAGTTAAAACGTGCTGCGTAACACGAGAATGAACCCCATTGGTTCTTGCAGAAGCTCAGACGTGCTGCGTAACACGAGAATGAACCTCATTGGTTCTTGCAGAAGCTCAAACGTGTTGCGTAACACGAGAATGAACCTCATTGGTTCTTGCTGAAGCTCAAACGTGCTGCGTAACACGAGAATGAACCTCATTGGTTCTTTTTAAAGCTCAAACGTGTTGCGTAACACGAGAATGAACCTCATTGGTTCTTGCGGAAGCTCAGACGTGCTGCGCAACACGAGAATGAACCTCATTGGTTCTTGCAGAAGCTCAGACGTGCTGCGTAACACGAGAATGAACCTCATTGGTTCTTTTTGAAGCTCAAACGTGCTGCGTAACACGAGAATGAACCTCATTGGTTCTTGCTGAAGCTCAAACGTGCTGCGTAACACGAGAATGAACCTCATTGGTTCTTTTTGAAGCTCAAACGTGCTGCGTAACATGAGAATGAACCCCATTGGTTCTTGCAGAAGCTCAGACGTGCTGCGTAACACGAGAATGAACCTCATTGGTTCTTGCTGAAGCTCAAACGTGCTGCGTAACATGAGAATGAACCCCATTGGTTCTTGCAGAAGCTCAAACGTGCTGCGTAACACGAGAATGAACCTCATTGGTTCTTTTTGAAGTTAAAACGTGCTGCGTAACACGAGAATGAACCCCATTGGTTCTTGCAGAAGCTCAGACGTGCTGCGTAACACGAGAATGAACCTCATTGGTTCTTTTTGAAGCTCAAACGTGTTGCGTAACACGAGAATGAACCTCATTGGTTCTTGCTGAAGCTCAAACGTGCTGCGTAACACGAGAATGAACCTCATTGGTTCTTTTTAAAGCTCAAACGTGTTGCGTAACACGAGAATGAACCTCATTGGTTCTTGCGGAAGCTCAGACGTGCTGCGTAACACGAGAATGAACCTCATTGGTTCTTTTTGAAGCTCAAACGTGCTGCGTAACACGAGAATGAACCTCATTGGTTCTTGCTGAAGCTCAAACGTGCTGCGTAACACGAGAATGAACCTCATTGGTTCTTTTTGAAGCTCAAACGTGCTGCGTAACATGAGAATGAACCCCATTGGTTCTTGCAGAAGCTCAGACGTGCTGCGTAACACGAGAATGAACCTCATTGGTTCTTTTTGAAGCTCAAACGTGTTGCGTAACACGAGAATGAACCTCATTGGTTCTTGCTGAAGCTCAAACGTGCTGCGTAACACGATAATGAACCTCATTGGTTCTTGCAGAAGCTCAGACGTGCTGCGTAACACGAGAATGAACCTCATTGGTTCTTGCAGAAGCTCAAACGTGTTGCGTAACACGAGAATGAACATCATTGGTTCTTGCTGAAGCTCAAACGTGCTGCGTAACACAAGAATGAACCTCATTGGTTCTTGCTGAAGCTCAAACGTGCTGCGTAACACGAGAATGAACCTCATTGGTTCTTGCTGAAGCTCAAACGTGTTGCGTAACACGAGAATGAACCTCATTGGTTCTCGCTGAAGCTCAAACATGCGGCGTAACACGAGAATGAACCTCATTGGCTCTTGCAGAAGCTCAAACCTGTTGCGTAACACGAGAATGAACCTCATTGGCTCTTCCAGAAGTTCAAACGTGTTGCGTAACACGAGAATGAACCTCATTGGTTCTCGCTGAAGCTCAAACATGCTGCGTAACACGAGAATGAACCTCATTGGCTCTTGCAGAAGCTCAAACCTGTTGCGTAACACGAGAATGAACCTCATTGGCTCTTGCTGAAGCTCAAACGTGCTGCGTAACACGAGAATGAACCTCATTGGCTCTTGCAGAAGCTCAAACGTGCTGCGTAACACGAGAATGAACCTCATTGGTTCTTGCTGAAGCTCAAACGTGCTGCGTAACACGAGAATGAACCTCATTGGTTCTTGCTGAAGCTCAAACGTGTTGCGTAACACGAGAATGAACCTCATTGGCTCTTGCAGAAGCTCAAACGTGCTGCGTAACACGAGAATGAACCTCATTGGCTCTTGCAGAAGCTCAAACGTGCTGCGTAACACGAGAATGAACCTCATTGGTTCTTGCTGAAGCTCAAACGTGCTGCGTAACACGAGAATGAACCTCATTGGTTCTTGCTGAAGCT